TTTGGTTCAGGATATAAATGAATCCTGTACCATGTATGTGCATAGGAACTCAAACACCTACTGAAAAAAATCAGGACCTGTGCCTTTCCCTCTGAACCACTGGTGTACATTTATTTATAGTACTAGATTATAGTTTGATCTATGAGTAAACAACATTAGTGATCATTTACATGTTTGCTACCCCCATAGGTATCTAAAAAGCTTGTTGGAAAAGTGGTATCTTTCCCTGGAGTGTAAGTTCTGACTAAAGTATCTACTTAAGACTCCTTCTGGCCATGAGGGTGTTCCTACTGAGCAAATGTCTCACATCACATGTTAGTACCAGCTGTCATTCTGTTGGTTCAATTGATTTTGAATTTGGGGGCATTCTTCAGGAATCTAGTGTTGTATCTTTGAGATTTTAAATATTTCCTAGATATTAAATATTTTGAGCATGTTATCATATTAAGGAATTTTTATCTATAAGTATTTCCATTTGCTGGGATTATTTTTGTGCTTCTTAACCTTGTCAATACTTCTTAAGAAAGTAAATGTGGACCAAAATTAACAGATTTTGAAAGTAAAAGTAAATCTGGCACTACTTAGATATCATGAGGGAAACTTTAGGGTTGGGTGGGGTGAATCATAGCAAATGGTAAGGTTTTAGGCACATGGAAAGAACCCATAATCATGAATACAAAAGATTTTACTCAGACTCCAGTGGTTACTATCCCAACCATGTCCACGTGAGGTGCACTGGTTCACTAGTGGGTCACTAAGCAGAAACTAAAAGACTAGGAAGTGGGTTGGGAACACACCCTCTGTAGCCATTTCCAACTCAAATGATAGACATTAAAGGGGTAGAGATGATAATGCAATGGCTTGACCGTTAGGCTTTTAATAACATGAGCGTTTATGGTGTTACCATGTGACCATCCAGAGCTACTCTGTCAATAAAATAGTCATTCTATTTATTCTATATAATTAAAACTAAACTAAGGTATTGGAAACATTTTTAAAAATTTAAGGTGGCTTTTGGTAATCTTAAGTTATTTTCTAAAGCCTATTTTCAAGGCCTTCTCATTTCCATCATTTCTCCCAAGCAGTTCCTTAGGACCTCATTTTCTTTGAGTAAATATGTCTTTATGAGCAACTTTTTTAAAATTTTGTCTCTGGTTTTAGTTTTAGAGTACTTATTATAATAGATGGATGATAATTTCTTGAATTCATTTGGCTTATACTTGTTAAAATTTTATGAATTCCTGACGAGTTCTTTTCTAAATTTTTGAAAAATCTGTGTACCTCTTCATCTAGCTCCCTGCCCCCTGACCATTCCTTTGATTTCTGTTAGGACAACTTGATGCCTTGAGACAACCTCTGCCATCAGACTTTAGTCCTTTAATAAGTTTTTAAATGTTTTACCTGCTGTGGATGTCTTTCTGTATGCTGTGAAAATGTGTTGCTATGATTGATTGATAAATAAAATGCTGATTGGACAGTAGCCAGGCAGGAAGTATAGGTGGGACAAAGAGAGAGGAGAATTCTGGGAACAGGAAGGCTCAGTCAGGAGATGCTGCCCGCTGACCCCGCCATAAGAAGCAAGATGTAAGGTACCAGTAAGCCACAAGTCACGTGGCAACTTATAGATGAGTAGAAATGGATTAATTTAAGGTATAAGAACTAGATAACAAGAATCCTGAGCCATTAGGTCAAATAGTTTAAAAAAATATAAGCATCTGTGTGTTTATTTGGGTCTGAGTGGCTGTGGGTCTGAGTGGGACTGGCGAAAACTCCAACTACATTCACCTCATTTGTTAATTATTTGTCATCAGCTGACTTATTTTACAGTGCACTGTCTTATTCTTTATAAATATTCTGTTTAAAGATTCATTTTGGTTTCTTTTTTCACTTAAGATGCTCAGTGTGCTTTTCAATAGTTTGAGTTTACTTATTAAAAAACGACTTCTATTCAGTTTAGGAAATTCTAAGTTCTACCATTTATTTTCTTCACATTTTACAATTAGTATTTTAATGCTCATTTCTGAAAATTGCAGAGACTTGTTCATTTGTGGATAGATTTCTATCACCTTTTCTCTTTTCACTAAACTAGTTATTATTGTGTCTAGAAGTTCCTGATTGAAAAGAAAAGAATATTTATAAATATGGAACACTGGGTCTGGGGCGATGGCTCAGTGGATAAAATGCTTGCCATGCCTGAATGAGGATCTGAGTTCAAATCTCTAGAACCTACTTAAAACCAGTGCATGGTGGGAGTCAGAGATAGGAGAATCCCTAGAATCTTTGGGCCAGTGAGCCTGGTGTCCTAACATAATGACCCATATAATTTAGTCAATTCTTATGACATTGAACAGTTGAACTCTCTCAATCAGTATTCACTTTGAACCAGTAGAAAAGCATTGTTAAAATTTTATATTTACATCTGTATATATGTCTAAGTATCTATATAAACTTATAGATCCCAACTCTATATGTATATACATTTGACATTACATTATTTTTTTCTTACCTAATACCTGATATTCAAAGGAATATTTGTAGCTCCAAGCCATCACAATAAATGAAAAAAAAAAATAACATATGTCACTCACATAGTTACCTCAGAAGACTGGGACTGTTGACTTAATAGCCCTTTTCCATGGTTTATTTTTGTGTGTAGTGAATTAGAATATTGATTTGGAACTATGAACCTTGAAAAGAGCAGATGATGATTAGAAATTCCTCATTGCCCATAACAATGTAGCATTTGATATTCTAACACATGAAAAGCCAGAAGTATAATCTTAATGAAAAATATTCATTCAAAATGGAAATGTATCTCTTTAAAATTAGAATACACTTAAATATTTAAGATGCATGTATGAAAATTTACATACATGATCAAAGTAAATTTTAATAGTATAAAGCAAATAAAGTATTTTGCTGTTGTTTATCTTGCTCTGTTTTTCCATAACATACTCTACTCTGTCAATAGTTCAGTTGTTAATTAGGATATCATGGCAGTATTGCTTGTGGCCAGATATTAGGTAACATTTTTATTTAATTATAAAATTTGTATTACATTGTATGGAGCAAATAGAATTGTACCATGCGGGAAAATAAATGCCATTAATTAAAACAACCATTTTTGTGTTAATTGGAAAAAATCTCCTTCCAGGCTATGAAGTACAGGATTTGCCTACATAATTTTACCTTGACCTCACAATTACCCTGATGTACAAGTGACTATATTTCCTCAGAGTTGCAGATATATAAGCTCAGAGTTGCCGATATGGAAGCAAGGAGATTAAGTAATTTGCTCATAAATACAATGTTTTGTTCTGTTTTTACTTGTTGAGTGGTTTTTCAAGACAGGGTCTTGTAGGTGAGCCTGGTCTTGAACTCTTGGAGTCTCATCTCTCTTCTCCCTAGATCCTGTTGACTACAGAGGTGTGCCACCTTGACTGGGTGCTTATTATTAACAATAGTCAGACTTACAAATTAAATATCAACAGGTCTGCCTTAGCCTCTCCCTCAACTTGACTATACCTTAGATAACTTCTGATCGGATCCCAAACAGATTGGAAACAGAACATATCACACTTTCTTTATAAAACTTGTAGGTGTAACTCTGTTCTCTGCCCTTGTGACATGCATATTATTTGTTTTACTTTCAGGAAATTTCACACTTAGAGCTACAGGCACAGCATCCTCCTGAGAGAGCCAGGCTGTGAAATTGAATCAGACAGAAGATGATGCTCCTGAAAGTCTCAGTAAGAAGTGAGCAGTCTATGGCTACATGCTGCAATTTGTGTTTTGAAAGTAAATGTTATGTAAAAAAAATTAGATTGGGATATGAAAGTATATCTTTCTTTTCTTCTAAGTTATAAACAAACATTTGTTCCTACAATGTACAGATGTAGAGCAGTATGTGTGCATATGTGCATGTGTGTGTCTACATGTGTGTGTATGTGTGTGAGTGTATTCCAAGCTATCATATATATTGTGTAAGTCTCTTTGTTTACCCTGACAACACCTCCACTTCCATTCAACCATGTAACCCAAACACACACACACACACACACACACACACACACACACACACACACACACTCTCATCAAATAGCTAGCAGATAATGATATATAAAATTTTGTACATGTGGCCCAGAGAGATGGCTCAGCAGTTATGAATTCATGCTATTCTTGCAGAGGACCCAAATCTTCCCAGAACTCACCCATATCAATTTCCTCACAATTATGCTATTCCAGTTCCAGAGGATCAAATGCCTAATGGCCTCTGCAGGGCACTCACACTCATCTGCACAGGTACACACATACACACAATTAAAAATAAAATCTTTAATATATTTATGTGATATATATATTTATATATGTTCATATCATTGCCATATATTTTCTTTCCCCGAAACACATACATACTATACCAGAATTTATCAAAATGTTCACTGTGGACCAACATTCTAAGGTATAGGAATGTTTCTAATAAATGTCAAAGCTGAGAAACCAAAGCACAGTGAAATTGTTGGACTCTTCAAGGTCAGTTAGTAACTGACTCAGAAGACATAAAGACCACTGAGTTTACATTCAGCATCTTCCACATCTCCTATCATTAACTTTAGAGCTCTTCTGCCAAGCCCCTACCAAAACAAAACTATTGAGAAAGTGTTCCATTCTTGACTTAGTGCCTGTGCGTATTTCACTATACAGTTGCTATTTGTGAATATCTCGGATGTTCAAGCAACCCAAAACATCACAGACGCTTTTGAAAAGTAAAGTGTAAACTGAATTTGTATTACAACAGAATAAACATCATCTAGAGGGAAGAGAAAGAAGAGTCTGCAAGGATTTGGCCACTGCTGACACTTCATGGTGGAGCAGAGCCAGGAGACATAGCTGCTGTTGGACTGAGTTCTCTTGAAGAAGAGAAACATCCTAGGTTTGCTATTACAGTAATCTAGCCTGGAGGCACCAAAGTAAACAACTCTAATAGCAAAGCTTAATTCAAGTTATTTCAGCTGTTCACAGTTCCCATGGTCTCCTGGGTATGCAAGTGATTTAACAAAGGAGAGTCAGAAACGTTGAGAAAAAAAGTCAAACCAATAGTCAATAATAATAGTCAAACCAAAAGTCAAACCAATAATATTACCCAGTGTTTATGGTTAAGTAAAGTGAGTAGATAAACACAAAATCCTGCAGCAGTCTGCGTGTTTCCAGCTTTTGATTAGTTCTGGGATGCAGAGGCCTGGCTTCAGTGCTGATGGGAGGATGGAGAAACACTAGCGGGTTTCAGGTGACAGTAATATAGGATGTGTTTTTGGTGTATTTGAAAGTGCCATGGGTGCGGTGTTTAGAAAAAAGCATTCTTACAGTTCTAGGGCCTGGAAATTCCAAAATGGAGGCAGCAGCAGACTTGGAATGTGATGAGGACAAACTTTCCTGTTTGGGTGTACCTGTCCACATATGTTCTCACATGACAAAACATCACATCTGTCATGGTTCTTGGTATAGGGGCCCTAGTCCCATGACAAAGTGACTGAACTAACTCTGTGATCAAATCACCTCTCACATCCTCCTCTTTTATGCCTGGGATACAAAGGAGTCTTTTGAGAGTACTTGAAGATCCAGCCTATACAGCATAACCATTATACAATCTACCAGTGATAAGGATGTCTTCGATTTAATGGAATCTTCACAGAAACATTTTCCAGCAACTATATAGTTAAATGATATTTATTCAAAGTAAGCTAACTAGACCAGACACATGAATGAGGGAGGCAAAGTGCAGCCTGGGGAAGAAGAACAGCTGAAGGAGGACTAACATTCTTTGTGACCTTAGCTCTCCTCCTACTGATGGAAAGCTCTAGAGAAATACATATTTTTTTATTTAAAATTTTTTAAAAATTCATTTTACATACCAACCTCAGATCCCCCTCTCATCCCTCCTCCTTATCCCCCAGTCTCTCCCTCCAACCCGCCCCCATCCCCTCCTCCAAAAGGGTAAGGCCTCCCACGGGGAGTCAGCAAAGCCTGGTACATTCAGTTGAGGAAGGATCAAACCCCTCTTCCCCTCATCAAGGCTGAGCAAGGCATCCCACGATAGGTAATGTGATACAAAAAGCCAGCTCATGAACTAGAAAAAGATCTTAATCCCACTTCCAGGGGCTCCTCAAACAGACCAAGCTGTATAACTGTCTCCTGTATGCTGAGGGCGTAGTCCAGTCTCATGCAGGTTCCACAGCTGTCAGTGGAAAGTTCCTGAGTTCCTTTGAGCGTGGTTCAGCTGTCTTTGTACATTTCCCCATAGTGATATTGACCTCCCTTGCTCATATAATCCCTCTTCCCTGTCTTCAAAATACACTTTTTTTTTTCAACCAAAGACCCTGATGTAATGGGCTACATAAAATGTAACTGAGTAATTGGTTCCTCAAGATATTTAAGTTTTTTATTATAACCTAAAGCATTTATATGGGGCTAAAACTTCAAGCTAAATTAAATAATCTCTATGGTCTTCTTTTAATTTTTGAAACTACTAAAGAAATTATCTAGAAATTTGAAAATTTTAACTTGTCTCCCTAGTTGAGGAATGGATCATAGAAATCATCCTGTAATGGTTTTAAAAACTGGGCCACTTCCTGAATGTCAACCCTTGTAAAATATCACAACCTGGTCCAGATTCCTGAAAGGAGATATGATTGTGCTTTTTCCAGGTACACAGTTCATCATTATTGTGCCATATGAGAATAAATAATGTAGGAGATATTATCATTCATGTTTTACTGCCTTTTTTTTTTTTACAAAATGGTATGTTTTTAAGCTTAAAATCAAAGGCAAAACAAAGATTTAGTGGTGATAGGGGGGAAAGGTGTTCATATGGAGAGTAGGTAAGTACAAGATGTTAAGAGACGAATGTCAGTCTAGTGAGATAACAAAGCTCCTGTGCTTCTTGTTCCTGTGTTGGAATAAGTTAACTGGCTTTCTACTAATACCCCCTAAAAAAGCACAGACATTAATTCTACCAATGTTTTCAGCATCCAAAACAGCAAGGAGGTGCATCTTGCAGAGGAAAGGATTCCAGCAGCTCCAGGTATGGTGACAGACTAAGCAATTTTCTGTGATGGCTATTTCCTGTCTGGTAGTGTGTTTCTTTTAGCGTATGTCTAGGCATTAGTTCCAGGGAACGTAGAAGACATTTTCTCCCTTCTCATTCTCTGTAACACTTGATTACTTTAGATTTTTAAGGTCGAGGCTGTTTTCTTTATCTCCAAAGACTTGCAGACCTCAATATCTTTTATGTACTATTTACAAAGAACAACATAAAATATGAAATCCAATTCCAGAAATGCATTTGAAGGGCTGCAGTAAGTCGGGTGAGAGCTTCCATTATTTTCTCCTGAGGAAGGCACCCTGGTCTCTGAAATAGATAGCTTTCATATTGCAAATAAAGAGATAAAGCACTTTACCACTGTCAACTAACATTTTTAATCAGGACACAGTGAAAAACTGAAGTGCATCCTAGATCTCAGGAACCTTCACTTAGAAAAGTGAACCAAGGTGCCTACATCACACCCAGTAATATTTTTAAGGAAATGAAAAACCACTATGCAATTGCTTCCAAGGATAAGCTCAGCCCTTATTCCTGGTATCTCTACACTATGACTTTGAGCAGAATGATTTATCTAGTGTGTTCTCAAAGACTTGTTTTCCCTAATTTATCTCAAAAGTCACATTATGTTTTTTATTAGGTAGTGCACTAAAATATGTAAAATAGTGCAAACTAAATTCATAGGTCAACTTTCCCTTCACTATCTTTTTTTCTTATAACATTATGTAATGAGTCATTGTTATTTTGTACTTTAGCAATTCAATATGACATAGAGGAGATTGCAGGTCAGAGTCAGAGCAGAAATGCTTAAATATAAGCTTTTGTTTGACCATTTAATTAGAAGAATGTAATCACAGAGGAGAAAGTGGCTACACAAAGATGAATAGGGGTGTGATCAAATAGGCTTCTGGAAGAGGAAACATTCTTTTAAGTGGAGACGTGAAATACAGTGCTGCATTCAGAGAAAAGTAACATGGACAATAGAAAAGCAAATATGAAGTTATAGTGAAGGTGAATCATATGTCTTGAAGATCATTTAAATTAGGTTTCCCTTCAACATGGCATTTAGTGTCTTAAAATCATTGGCACAGATGGCCATGTGATTTGACACACAAGGTTTCACCTGTTTATTGGTACAAACAGATAAGCATTCAGCAGCAACCAGATTTCAGATGATAAAGTTTTATATTTCTTTCCAAATAGTAATTTTCATTTGGTATAACCCCCTCTCTCATTGGAACCAAAGTTCCAACTCATTCAAGGACAAGTGAGTCTTGGCTTGAATGGGAGATGACTTCCTGAAGTTACACTGGGTTCAGTCCCCCAAACTGCACAACAATGGCAATAAAGGTGAAAACTTAATACGGCTGTGATATTTAGAGGGAAATTAATGGGGAAAAGTCATCAGGTTGGGGACTGGTTGTTAAATCGTGGTGGCCTGACAGAGGGAAAAGGGAATGCCTCTGTGGTCTGCAGTAATGTGAGACTGCCTGTTCTCTCCAGAGCCCCAGGGATGTCAGGGGTCAGCTTCCAGATTCCAAAAATGTAAACTAAATGAAGTTCTTTTCAGATAAAGTATACCAATTTGGGTAGTTGGTTATAGTAACAAAAACACACAGTCAACAATACCCTTCCATATGCTAAGTGATGATGTTAAGGGAATTAGATAAGTTTTTTTTTTCTTTTTCCCATTTATGTCCAACAGACAGCTTCACTTCCATTTCACTGCAGTACTGTTCTCAGTAGCCCATCCAAAGAAACAATCCATGTGTGCCTCTACTAGTAAGTGAATGTAGATACTGTGGAATATAGACACAATGGAATACTACTCAGCCATGAAAGGAGGTCAGTCCTGTCATTGGCAACATCATGGAGATCTTGTTAAGAGAAACAGGTCAGGCACAGACAAGAGGAAGCTGGGCGCTCTCACTCAAATGTGGGATCTAAAAGGTTGATCTCAATGAAGTTACAAGTAGCATGGTTGTTACCACAGTGTTGTGGTATATAGGGAGAAGTAATGGTTGACAGAGGGTATCAAGTTATGATAATATAGAATTCAAACTTATTGATGTGCTCCTGCACAGGACATGAAGAGAGCTAACAAACGGAAAAGTTAGAATAAAAGAATTTGAAAGTTTTCACCATAAATAAGTGACAGATATTTAAGGAGACATGTGTGTGATCTCAATTAAACAGTATAAAGTGAATCACATGGCACACTATTTCCTTGGACCAGTTGTAATCTCATTTCTTTTGCCATGGCAAATATTCCTACTAATAGTGGCATAGGGGAGGAAAGGGTTACTGTTCATCATTTTGGGATGCTATGTAGACAGGACCTTGAGACAGAAGATCATACCACATCCCCAGTAGAGAGCAGAGATAAGCAAATGCAACCATGCCACCTGCTTCCTTGGTCATGAGCTTTCTTCACTGGTTATACAGTTCTGGGGCCTAGAGAATGATGCCACCCAAAGTGAGATGGGTCAAGTAAAAATCAACACAATTCCCCCACAGACTTGCCCACAACCAATATGATCTAGAAAATTTTTCAATTGAGACTCTTTTTCCAAACAATTATAGGTTGTTTTAAGTTGACATTTAAAGCTAACCATTACAGTACAGTACTAGTACATAAAATTTTGTGTTTATATCGATTATGACAAAATTAACCTCTAAGTGACAATTACTTTTTTCTTCCAAAAGTCTTCCATAAAGGAGACATTGTGCCTTTGTAGATATATTTCTTTCTATCAGATAAACTGCCTTAGTCAGAAATTTATTTACCATGACAGAAAACTAAGAAGAATATTTTAAAGAGGAGGTAGCTTTATTTTAGTTCAGTATTTAGGGAATGTCAGTCTAAGGAATGGTTCTGTGTTTTAGGCACTACATTATGTGATACATTGTGGCAGAGCTATGTTTTAGGATAAGCTACTCATCTCATGTCAACCAGAAAGATGAGAGAGAGGGGGAGAGATGGGGGGAGAGACAAACAGAGACAGAAACAGAGAAACAGAGAGACAGACAAACACACATACAGAGAGAGAGAGAGGGAGAGATAGAGAGAGAGATAGAGATATAGAGAGAGGGAAAGGGAGAGGGAGAGAGAGAGAAGAGAGAGAGAGAGAGAGAGAGAGAGAAGAGAGAAGAGAGAAGAGAGAAGAGAGAAGAGAGAAGAGAGAAGAGAGAAGAGAGAAGAGAGAAGAGAGAGAAGAGAGAAGAGAGAGAGAGACCTGCAGGACAAATTCCCAGTGACCCACTTCCTCCAACCAGCACAACTTATAAGGTTGCAACACCAGCTATCAACCAACTGTTTCACGCCTGAGCCTGTTATATAAACCTCATATTCAAACTGTAATAAACTTCTTGGAAAAACTTATGACCACACAATGGGTGGTAAAGAAACTGCTAAAATTTTTGTAAGCTCAAAAAGGAAAATTCACTTTGGTGTCAAATTAAAGAGATTTAAGACTCTCACTAGAGGCCATAGTAACTAGGGAAACAAAAATTATATCCACCCAATGCAATTTGTTTATTATTATTAATTCACTGGTTGCCTGTTCATTTAGGCAATAACATGGCAAATGTTTCATTTCTGCTTAAAGTATTGTTTTAAGGAATTCTCTTTGTCAAATGTTACTCTGACTATATCTGAGTAAAAAAATAATTCAAGTCAATTTTTAGATCTAGTAATGAAAATGAATATCACCAGTTCTCTTAAAATGTTAAATAAATAACCATCTACTATGCCCTGTATTTTCTTTTGCAGTTGTCATGGTTTTATGAATCACACATGATAATGGTGTCGGTGACAGAACTCAGAGTGTCAGCTTCTAATACTGATGTTTATATAAGATTACTTGTCCCAGTGAGAAAACATTAAATGTGGAGAAAGAATACTTATTTTTGTTTTCCTCAGACACACACCTACTACTTGCCTCTCTGATCATTCTTGGGGAATATTCCTTCCAGACTCCCATTTCTTGTGCCGAATGTGTTCTTCATTTTGAAGGATAATGTGAGTTTTGAGACTGTTTCCAGAGAAGACTAAAAAGTTACAAAAGGTTCTGTACAGGTGTAATGAACCATCCTCTGGGCATAAGAGACTCCATTGTCAACAGAACAGCTGTGACTACTTCAAGATACCCCTGTGGTTGGGCTTGTTGACTGTGGAAGTTCCCTCATAGGGCAATAGTTGGCCAAGGTCATTGGGCTCTCCCCCTGATATTCTTCCTTCTGCACCTCCTGGTCATTTGTCATTCTGCCCTGATTGCATGTGGCCTCATGATCTTGGGAAGTTGCCAGACAATAAAGATTAGAAGAGTTAACAGGAAGGGTCTCCATCTATATAGCTATGGGGAGGTCATCTTCCTTGCTGAGGGTAAGACTTTTTATTGTTATTGCTGCTTTGGCGTTACTATATTCCTGTACATAATTCTTTGCCCATGATCTGCAAGTAAACCAAATAAACTCATTGTCTCCCCAGGTTGGACTTTGCTACAATTATACTTGGGTTTGTTGCTGGAGCCCTATGAGCAGTGGCTTGCTTATGTCTCCCTAGAGATCAAGGTCCTTAAACAACTGGACACTGGGGCTCTCTTTTTGTCTTTTTAAATAGTTATATATAGAGCCAGATATTAGTTTCTTATTTCTGAATCTCCTTCTTTATATCTGAAATTGATAGTCCACAGGGGTTTCTCCCTGACATTTTATATGTATTTAAAGTACAGTGTTCTATTGAGTTGCCATGGCTAGAGAAAATGCTTGCTATTAACTTGTTTATTTTGTAACTCAGAACTTTAGCTGTACCCAGGTAGAAATCTGGGTATTATATGAGGAATAAATTTCTCAGCAATATGATCCACACTTCAGCTAGAAAGAAATAAAACATATTTTAAGAGAGAATTGCCCTGACTTTAAGGATTTAATATTGGCACATAAAAATAAGTCAGTCATTTGAATTATGGGGAAACATTTCAAGGCCAATTTCTACTGGAGAAAGTGGGAGAAAAGGTAAGAGCTGTCAACACTTGGGAAAATCATGTGATAGTGACTTCAGTGACTTTTTTATGGAACTTCAATGTGTGATTGTATTACACCTTGTAATGGGGATCATATTAACTAAAACTTACTGAGACAATAGGAACATAGCAAAAAAAGTTATATATAATCTCAAACACAGCAGAAATTGTGTTAACATCAAATTGTGAGACAATCATCATGCTGGTAAGAGAGAGATCTCATAGTTTCCCTCTTACATTTTCTGGTCCCCAAGTGAAGTATGGAATGCAACACTTTAACATGTTTGGAAGGAAAGCTAACACTATGGACCTCAATTATTTGATGTGTTGGGCTTGTATGCCAGGAAAGCAATATATCGAAGGACTTCTCTTTCAATTTTACCAAGTATTGAGGACTCTTACATCCCCAGCTTTACTCCAGGGGTTGAGGACATAAGTGTAAAGAAAATAAGGCAATCTTTGGCTAATGAAGTCATCTTTGCACATTTAATATTAAGACACAAAGCAATTATGGGGAAATACAACATGAAGCTTGGCCAGTTGACTAACTCGGTTTGGGTATGGAAAAGATGCCAAGAGTGACCATGTGAGTAGACATGGTAAGAAGGACCACCCCCTGGGCTCTCCACTTCTCTGTGCAGATCAACATGGGATTGGTTCTGAACTGAAAGTGACACCTTGCTAGATTGTGTCCTCTTCACAACTTTACAAACCTAAGGGAGAAACATATTTACTCTGTACTTTAAAGAGGAAAATATTCAAATCATAATATTGGGGAGAACCCATTGTTTTTATGGTTCTAAAAAGTTCACATATGATAATAGTGTTAATACTATATTCTGTGTCTTTGTGTTTGAATGCACTCTTCTGTTATTTGAAATTAAGAAAAATAACAAATGCATGGTAGTTGCCAAGACCACAAAATGTACCATAGAAACTTTGGACTCAGAAGGTTAGACTGGTATCATGTATCATTCTTCTTGAAACAACTGACCCCCTCACTGTGTGGTAGAAGACTTCAGAATCCGTGTTTCCTGTGGTCCCTCCATTGTATTTCTGTTGACAGTGTTTTCTTAGGCTCAGCTTTCCTCACTCTAATCTTCTTCCTCATCTTTAACTCTCACCAATAATGTGCTTTTTTCCAGCCAAGGATTGTACCCCTGCCAATTTATTTCCTGTATTTTTGGGGAGAAATATTTTTTTCTGTGATAACAGAGACATCATACATCTGCGCTTTGAAAGAGCCACAATTCTAATTTTACTTGTGTGTGATTATTTGTTTAAATTAGATTGTAAATTGCACATGGAGAGGAGAAAATATCTTTTGCCTCTGTAGAGTATTCATCTGTGTTTTTATTCTCAAAACAGCATTTAGTCCCATGTCTTTCCAATCAGTTTCTTTGTCTAAATATATTTCCTTATCACACAGGGAGGTGAAATATATCAGTTAAATAGATTGGATTCATTATAGTCTTTTCTATTATAATGTTTAGATCATAATTGTCAGCCTGAAATATATCATGCAGTCAGAATTTGCAAAATGACATGGTTTAGAAGTTCTCTGAATGTATACTAGCATCTGCAGACTCCACGAACACTCCTATTTTCCTGCTATTACAAAACCCAGCATATAAAAAACCCTATAATTCAAATCCTCTGAGTAATAAAGTTGACTTATATCTATTTTTTTCAATAATCCCTCTAAAGTTTGTTTTCCTCAGGGGGCACTTTTGCTCAAAATACTTGTACAAAGGCATGAACAGAATCTTGACTTATAATGATATGTGAATTAGGACCACAGGATGGTCAGCCTGCAGAGGGATCAGCTGTGTGGAACAAATATCTCTGGTGTGTGTACCAGCTATGGACAGAGTTAGAGCTCAGAACACCCTAACCCTTACCTCTTGGAGTGACATCCAATTTCCCACTGTAGTCTCATCCTCAGTGTTCTCCTTGGTGGATGCAGAGAAACATATGGAGATTGAATTGCAGATATGAATAATTAAGAAGCAAATATTTGCCCATGATGATCCCTCATCAAGACATGTATGTTACAAAACCTGACCAAAGAGACTTAAAGGAAGCATTCATTTTGCCTTATAGGTACAATGGGGGTGCAGTCCATCACAGTAGGGAAGTCTTGGCTTGAACAGGAAAAAGCTAGTTGGTGACATTGCATCCAGAGTGAGAATGCAGGAGAGATGAATCCTTGTGCTTAGTTTTCTTTGTCTTTTCCATTCATTTCTGTACTTCCGACAATAGGATGCTCCTACCAATAGTTAATGTGAGTCTTGTCACATCAAGAAGCCCAATCTAGAAAAGTCCCATAGATGTGCCCAGTTTTTCTTCCCCTAGCTGATTCTAGATCCTGTCAAGTTAGCCACGATGACACCATGCCAAGGACGGCTGGCTTTGCAATAGGTGGTAATGAGCCCTGTATGCTGAGGCCCGCCTGAAACAACAGTGATGCAGAGAGTTAGCTAGTCTTGAAAGAACATTTTATCCATTCAGCTTCATCCTTTTCAAGGGGCACTAATCACCAGCATGGCTCCAAACTGGTCACTCAGCCCAGGGAGTGTAAAACATTACTTTATTGTTTATCTTGATTCCAGTTTTTTCTTATGTTGAAGTTGCCTGCCTTTTTCTCAGTCCTTTGAATCTTCCTGTAGTGGGATATAGCTATGAAACAATTCTGAATATTATCCTGGGGTCTGCTTGGACATCCTGTGGAAAAAAATTACTCCATTGGCCAAAAAGAGAGCCTCAGAGCAACAGTATAAAGGGATAGAAGAGCCAGTGCCCAGAGCTCATAGGAAGCCAGAGAATTCAGGAATGTGGTTTCAAATCATTATCTAATTTTAGTTGACTGCAAAACAGAGGCAATAGCCTCATTAAGAATGTGAGTAATACTTGATGATAATTAAAGCTGCACAAAAGGGAAAAAGCTTAGGGCTCCACCAGTGGTCCGACTCTCTAAAACTGGATAATCAGACTTGCTTAAGTGACAGTTCTCGTTGGTGCTTTAACTGGGTTATTGAGTCTTTTAGCTTTGATATAATACATTCAGTGGGTATTATGGTCTGCACATTACCTGACAATATGTTGTAAACTAATAACCAAATTGACTTGATGGTATTATAGATGGATGCTTTGGAGTTCCCATTCAATTTCTCAGAGACCAGGAAGGTGTGCTTTGACACTTTGTCCTCATGAGAAACCAGCTAGATGGAGCCCTCTAGTAGGAAAAACAGAACAACAAAAGAAGAAGAAAAAAAGCACTGTATTGTTAATAAGCTGTTTGGTGTGACAGTCTGTCACAGAAGCCTGTATAGACTACAGTAGTTGTTATGACATATATATTTAACTTAAATCAATTCAGTTTAACTTGACTCAGGGTAGCAGCAAAGTCAATGATCCCAAGTGCTGGGCACATGTTTATGTACAGGAGGAGTTACTAAAATAGAGACTGTGTCTGCATTTGGTCACCTGCCCTTGTTAGAACTGACAATGGGCACTGTAGATATCACATATAGATAAATAACTAGGGATGAATAAGATTAGTTTTTTGCTTTAAAAGGTTGTATTTAAGTATTTATTTCACTTTACAGTGTTTTTGTTGAAGCCCCATTATTTGTTTTTATTCTTTATTGAAAATAGAATTTTTATATAATATATGCTGATTATGGTTTCCCTCCCCAACTCATCTTAGCTTTTCTCCAATTCTCCACCCACCTAAATCCACACCCTTTCTTGCTCCCTCTAATTGGGAAATTAGCAAGCATCTAAGAGAAAAAGACAGAGAGAGAGAGAGAGAGAGAGA